ATATGATGCCGAGAGGCCCAGATGCCCCGTGCCCAGCCCAGGGTGATCCCAGGCGACGCCTCTCCCTGCAGGTGCAGCTGGCCGAGACGGAGGCCTTCTCCCTGAACTCAGACAGGTCCTCGTCCATCCTGCTGGGTGACGACCTGAGTCTTGAGGACCCCACGGCCTGCCCACCTGTCTCCAAAGACAGCAAGGTGAGTGGCCCTGGCAGGCTCCGCGTATCCCACACCGCTGTCTTGTGCAGGACGCCAGGGCCCACGGCCTCGGGGCCTGGCGGGACTCAGGCAGGGTGCAGTCTGGTTAATCAAGGCCTGGACTCAGCAAGTTATAAGGGCCTCAAGTCTGTCCACCCCGAAGAGGCACCAAGGTAGCTCTAGGGCTTGCCGGGCAGGGTCACCTTGGGCTATGGGACTGGGAACGTCCAGGAAGAAAGGTCAGGGCCTGATGTTCCCTGTGCCAGCTCTGAAGCAGTGGCCAAAAGGCGGGGTTTTCCCCTATTTTTGGATGTAGAAACTGAGGCTCTGCAAAAGGGAGGACCAAGACCCATCCAGGGACCCACCCGGGGAGGAGCCACCCAAGGCCCTGCCCATGGAGGCAGGTGCCCGTGGCCCCTGCCTGTCTTTGATGCCTTTGCACCTTGACGTGGCTGCTGCTCTGGGCCAGGGTCTGCGTCAGCTCTGAGATGGACATGAGCCGCACTGAGGACCTCAGTCACCCGGGGGAGTGGACGGGGAGCCACTGTCCGCCCTCGGCCTCAGCAGATGGCGATCGTCGGCTGGGGTGGGAGAAGGATGAAGGTCCTTGCGGGCAGTGGGTGCTGTGCAGGAGGGGGCTGTGTCGGGCCAGCCTCTGTCCCCGCTCCATCTCCCCCCCATCTCCCTCCCGTCCCGCAGGGGGAGCTGGACCTCTCGGAGCCCGAGCGGGTGGGGGACCTGGACGAATGCTTCTTCCCCCTGCCCAACACAGCCGTCTCCTTGGGAACAGAGAACTTCCTGTGTGAGATGGAAGGAATCCCGTTCAACCCTGTCCGGTCCTGGCTGAAACAGGAGAGCAGCCAAGGTGAGGGGCAGGGTTTCACATACCTCATCTCCAGTGTGTGCTTCAGAGGGAGGAAGCTGAGTTTTCCCCCAGTGTTTTTGCCTAGATATTATTGTGTTTACTTCTGAAGGAACCAGATGAAGACCTGGTAATAGGGTTCATGTAACAATGATTAAAAAAAATTCAAGAGCCAAATAACAAGATGAGATAATAATTACAAGCCTGGACCCTTCATGCTGAGCCTCCGCGGAGCTGTGGCAAAAAGGGAATCAAGTTGACCCACACAAATCTTGCCATGAAGTAGGATCACTGACAAATTGCTGAGATGGTTTTGTAGAGCTGAATTTGAGAGCTTTTATCTCTAAATATTCACACAAGGCGATGTTGAACAGCAGAAAGCCTAATGTTTTGATAGCCTTGTTGTAAAATGTCCTGGCCTTTATCCTTTGAGGCTGACTATTATCCTTTGGGGGTAGTTTGTGCTTTGGATGTGTGGCAAGGCTGTGAGTGCATGGCGGGGACCCAGGTGGCCTGCTTGTCTCTCAGGCTACAGGAATCTGGTTTTAAAACACTGGCCGGGGAGAGGGCAGATACAGGAGGCGCCCAACACAGAAGGACCCTGAATCCACCCCGAGCTGTCTGCTAGGTTATCTGCACCAGCACCTCCAGGAGTGGTGGGGTTGGGGTGACTTTTTCCCAGGACCCTCACCCGACAGCTGACAGCTGATGCTGAGGCCCCAGACGTCCTGGGCCCGAAGTGTGACCCTAGAGACACTCTGATTGGTGGAATCCCACCCCCTGGAATTGACTTTTGTTTGTTTTTTCCTCAAGGAATCCCATGAGGGTCAGTCAGGCTGACCCTGCCTCTGGGTAGCTGGTCATGCATGCCCCAGTCCTGGGCACTAGGGGACCTGGCTGTGCCCCCCTGTACCCAAGGCTCCTCTAGGGTCCTCAGCAGAGCAAACAGGCCCTTGTGGCTCTCGAATCTGTGCTGTCCAGCCAGTGTGGGCAGAGGGCCTGAGGGTAACACCCGGGGACTGCAGTGTACCTGGGCTGGGAGCATCAATGGCTTCTCACCCTCGACTGCTGTTCGGCCCTCGGAGGACCTGGACTTGATCTCTCTGGATCAAAAGCTTTGGTTCAGGGCCTGTCCTGTTAGGGACCACCCTGGCTGACACCTCTCCTGCTCTCACTTGGGGAAACTGAGGCTCGGAGATATTCTCAGCAGCCAGTTTGTTAGGGAGCCCTCCCTGGCAGCCCAGGGAGAACATGTGCCCTTTGCCCTCCCATTAAGCTGTACCCCACAGCTCGTCTCCGCCTTCCCCGCAGCACCCCCGAGGCCCTTCTCCCCAGACGCCTCCAGCCCACTCCTGCCCATGCCCGCCGAGTTCTTCCACCCTGCTGTGTCTGCCAGCCAGAAAGGGCAGGAGAGAGGCGCTGGCGTGGGGGCCCTCCCCAAGATTGCCCTGCAGGGCTCCTGGGCCTCTCTGAGGTCGCCAAGCGTCAACTGCACCCTCCTCCGACAGGTAGGGGCACCTCCTGGGCTCTGGGGAGCTCCCTGCTGGGGGCATCAGAGCCTGGTGAAACCTGTGCGGGGGGGGGGGGGGAGGTGCAGGAGCACAACCGTGCAGGGGCAGTTGGGGAAAGTTAGGGGATGCTGAGTCTGGGGGAGCACGCGGCACCAGGGCCTGGGACGATGGGCAGGAGCAGCTCCTGAGGTACCTGGGGGCTCCAGAGGGTGGGCAGGACCCAAATGGGGAGTCTGGCAGAAGATCCTTGGGCTACTGCTTGGGAGGAGGGATAGGATGCCAGGGAGTCTTTTTAGGGTGACACGTGCTGGGGATGGGAGGCACCTGGGGTGCTCAGGGTGGGTGTGAAAGGGGCTAGATTACCAGGAATAAGGGCAAAGGGCCAGGTCTGGGGACAGGAGATCTCAGCTGCAGGTCCCTGAATTGAATTGGCTGCGACTATGGCTCCCTGGACCAGAGGGTCTTGCAGAGAGGTGCCTTGGACCTCGGCTCCCACGTATGGCAGAGGTAGAGGTGTAATCAGTTATTCAGGCAGAGATAGTTGATCTCCCAGCCCTGTGCCAGTGTGCAAGGGACAGGAGTGTGTGTGACAGCAGGCAGACGGGCACAAAGTCTCTGCCAGGGGTGGGAATGGCTGGAGGGGTTGGGAGATGGGGCCAGGGGGTAGGAGGTGGGGCTGACAGTTGAGTGGTGACAGTGAGCCTGGCCTGGGGTTTGAGGGGAGGTAATGACAGATGCCCCTGAGGTACCGTCTGTGGGTGCAGGAGTGGTGTGGGGGCAGGACAGCCCAGAGGGGTGCAGCCAGGGGAGACTGGGTGTTTCCTCTGCTGGGGTTGGGTCCTTGGGATGGGGGGAGGTGAAGGAGCCTTGCAAACTGGGGCATGGGGGGCAGCGAGGCCTGTGGCTTTCCTGGGGCGTAGGCTGGGGGCCCCGGGAAGGACAGGGCCGGGCACTGACTTGGGCTGAGTTGGGGCACCCTGGCTGTCCCTTGGGGGTTGGTGGTGCAGGGTGACCCATAGAGGCTCCCACACAGCAGAGGGGATGCCAAGAGGTCTCCTCGCACCCCCTTGGATGCCCAGGCTGGGAAAGGCCCGTCCCTGTTGTCCGGATGGACGGGGTGGGGGACCCAGGCGGCCCCATCCCCTCCTCCCTCCCCGCAGGCCACCGTGAGCGACACGTCGCTGGACGCCAGCCCCAGCAGCTCGGCGGGCAGCCTGCAGACCACGCTGGAGGACAGCCTGACCCTGAGCGACAGCCCCCGGCGCGGCCTGGGCCCGCCCGCGCCCCTGGCTGGGCCCCGGGCAGGCCTGTCCCCCGCCACCCGGCGCCGCCTCAGCCTGCGCGGCCGCGGCCTGTTCAGCCTGCGCGGGCTCCGCGCGCACCAGCGCAGCCACAGCAGCGGCGGCTCCACCAGCCCGGGCTGCACGCAGCACGACTCCATGGACCCCTCGGACGAGGAGGGCCGCGGCGGCGCGGGCGGCGAGCCCTCCGAGACGCTCAGCAGCCTGTCGCTCACCTCCCTCTTCTGCCCGCCGCCCGCGCCGCCGCCCGCGCCGCCCGGCCTCCTGCCGGCGCGGAGGTTCAGCAGCACCAGCAGCCTGGGCGTGGGCGTGGGCGTGGGCGCCGGCCCCGGCCGGGCCGAGTCCCCGCCGCCGCCGCCCCGCCCCGCGGCCTGGCCCGGAGCCCGTCGTGGGCCGCGGGCCGCAGCAAGGACCCCCCGGGCCAGGCCGCGCGGTCCTCGGGCTTGGGGGCGCCCGAGCCCCGGCCGCCGCCCGGGGACCTGGAGTCGGGAGACGCGGCCGGCCGGAGGAAGAGATGAGGGGCCGCAGGGGCCGCGCCGGACGCCCACCGGGGCCGGGCCCGCCCCGAGTCACCTTCTTACCTCAGGAGCCAGGGAGCAGACAGCAATACTTTGTCCACACCTGGGAATGGTGCGGGGACAGCCAGGCTGCCAGGCAGGCCGGGTGGAGGAGGGTCTGGGTCAGCCAGGCTCAGACGGCCGCCGAGGCCCAGAGTGGCCCTCCCAGTGCATATACATATATATATATGCAGATATATATAGAGAGACAGACATATATATATATATATATATATATTTATTTTTTTTACTGAGAGCTTATGACTTCCAGAAAGTGCTACAGTGGAGGGTGACGCCAGGGTTGGACAGGGCTTTTGTCTGCTGCTTGGGACCCGGCCCGCCCAGCCCAGGGCAGAGGGTTCTGCCTGAGCATTGGCACCGTAGCTTGGGTGTCTTCCTGGGCCGGGCGCTTGAGAATGATCAGAGCCGCGGCCAGGAGACAGGCCAGGCGAGGAGGTGCAATTCAGGGTGCGCTTTTTTTCCTGTAAAGAAGAGACGCTGCTAAGATTCCCCACTGCCACCCACGTGTTGGGGTGTCTGTCTTGTCCCTCTGACCGTCTCGTTGTTGTGCAGTCTTTTGTAGACACTCCTGAGCACACATCATAGTCACTGGTTAGATGTTTTCTTTAGAAAAACTCGGGTGAGTAGTTGTATTTCTTAGGACAGGGGTGGGGTAGTGCACAGCTCCCAGGCTGGGCAGGGGGCTCTGGCACAGTGAGGGTCTGACCCCACTGAGCACTCTGGGGGTGCCCCCAAGGTGAGCCCCGAGGTACAGCCATCCCTGAAGGGATGTGATCACCTTGCCCTGAGCAGCTCTGCCCGTGTCTTCTCGGAGTGCAGGGAACAGCAGATCCGACAGGGTTAGCAGGGATGGGGCGTCTGCCCAGGCCCCGGACAGCCTCCCCGCTGCCCAGCTCCCGAACCCTGCAGCCCAATCACCTGGAGCCCCGTGGTTCCTGCTTCCCACGTACCTGTCCCTGGGTCTCTATGGCACCGTCCTGAGCTGCAGGTCAGGTTTCATTGCAGTCGTGCTTCCCAAACAGGTTCCAGACGGGTGTTTTTATTTGAATACTTATGATGCATTTATTTCAGTATTTGTTAGAAAAAGTGTAATATGCGGAAGCTGTGATTTCACAGGCACATTGCTTAGATCAAGGCTGAGTTCTAAGCAGTATGAGGAGGTAAAATCAGTTTCGAGAAGGAGCTCAGGAAGGTGTTGGCTCAGGAGTGGCGATGCAGCACATCTGAGACGTGTCTTGACGCACCTTGGCATCTCGGGGCCTCTGTCTTTGCCGAGCTGTCTGGTGACTTCCGCTCAGTCCTGCTGAGAGGTCTCAGCCCTGCTCTCGAGGCCTGGCTTCGCACGACTCAGCCTCCTGCCAGGCTGGTGAGTCGTGTGCTCTATGAGCAGGCTCTGGGCTTCTTCTGGCAGCATCTGAGGCCTGGGCGCCATGGCGAAGGGAGGAGGGGGAAGCAGATGACACGAGCATCTTTGGTGCAGAGCCCTTGTCCTCAGAGCCGAGGTAGTGAGGACATTTTACATCAGAGGAAATCGGGGCCCAGGGAGGCGAAGCAGCCACCCGGACCCCGCAGGGCCCTGGCAGCAGAGAAGCCAGGGTGCTTGTGGACTGCAGAAAAGCCCAGGTTTTAAAGTGGGGATGGTGCAGAGGGCCCAGCATGGAGTTGGCTGACTCAGCAGCCAGGGCTGGACAGGCCCCAGAGCCCCTGGGCTCCGTTCTCTGACATCTTTAATCTGAGGGATGGCCCTGATGCTCCCTGCAGCCTTTCCTGATGTCACCGGGTGCTGGGTGGCTGACAGGGAATTCGACCCGCAGGCATGTCTGACACAAAGCAGTCTTTGCACAGACCAGGTGGCCCCCGAGCAAGTGGGTCACTGGGGGCATAATCCAGGCAGGCGTGAGCAAAGGCAGCCGGACAGAGCAGGGCAGATGGAGGAGGCGGGTGTGGCTGAGGCGGGAAGCTGTACCTGGCAGCCGGTTCCTGGCGGGCCCCAAATGCTCATCCCAGACACTTGGCCGTGTTCCTGGGGGTGTCAGGACCAGGGACCAGGGAGCTGTTGGCAAGGACAAACCAAAGTGGTTCAAGAGTGGGGTGAGCGGCTCCTCCGCCCTCCCAACCCTGTGGCCTGGGCCACGCGTGTCCATCAATAAAGCACAAACTTACCCTCATCCACAGGGGCCTGGCTGTGGGGAAAAGGGAGACCCAGGTGTCAGGGCCCTAAGGGTGGTGTTTTCAGGGCTGAAGCTGGTGGACACCTTGGCATCGTGGAGAGGGACCCAAGACCACACGCGCGGTGGCCTGTCCTGGCCAGCTGTCCTCCTGTCCCTGAAAGGAGGCCAAACTGCCAGCATCCACCTGTCTGCTGTCCCCGCCCTCAGCCCTCCATGGTCAGGGCCACTCCAGCCCCCTTTGCTGCGCTGTGGAAGGGCTTGGGGTCCTAGAAGCCGCTCTTTAGCCCGACACACATACTCTTCTTGTCTTTGTGCAATAATCAGTGTTCCTGGCAGAGCCAGGGCCGAGCGGGGGAGGAGGCAGCGGCCACCTCGTCCGGGAAGCCTCGCTGGCTCTGCTGCTGCGCCGTAGCCCTCCCCGTGGCTGTACAGTTTCTATGGCGTGACGAACTCCCCTCCTAGCTGCCGACGGCGCTGGTCCCTGCTGGCTCAGAAGGCCCGGGCACAGGGAACCAGGCGGCAACACGACCAGTGTTGTTTTGAATAAAACCCCAGGCGCCTGTCTCGGAGTCTGTCCTGTGTCTCTGCTCTTCTTTCCCTGGGGAGGTCGGGGTGTCCAGGGTGGGTTTCCTGGGGGAGGGGGGGGCAGGGTGTGTGTCACACCTGTCCTTTGCCTTCAGGCTGTGGGACCTCAGGTGTTGGAGACCTCTACGTGATAGGGTGTCTTGTGGGTAGGCAGAGCAAGGTGACAGGATCTCAGGCAGTGAGGCTGGGATCAGGGAGAAAGGATCACACAGGACGGTGACCCTGCCCTGGGCACTATTTCCTGGTCTCATACTACCCGTATAATCAGGGCTGCAAAGGACAAAAACCCAACTCATGCACTGACAGGTACAGAAAGAATACAAAAGGAGAGACAGAGGGAAAGGAAGAAGAGACCAAAGGAACTAATTTAGTGGTTCAAGACTATATATTGGCTTTCAGGTGTGACTGGATCAAGGGACAAGGTCATCCTCCACCTCTTGGCTCTGCTCCAGCTCTGCCCAGGTCACCAAGAGTGTCTCTCCTGGGAGCAAGGCCCACTTTGCCTCCCTCAGTGTTAACTGGGGTCACTGTTATGCGACTCCATATGTTATGAGACTCCATATTGGCTAGGCGTGAAGTGTCAGCCAGGATCCCAGTAGGAAAGGAGGGACTGGCCCAGGATTCCGCCCTTTCTGCCCAGCTCACTGGAGCCAAGCAGCCTGAGAGCTTGCCTGGCCCTGCCAGTGTCAGCCTCGGCCCTCCATGGTGGGTCCTCTTGCTCCACAGGGACTACCTGGGGCTGGAGTACTGCAGGACCAGAGGACAGAGGGACACAGGTGTGGGTCCCAGCCCGGCACCTCCCCCTGCAAGCCCCAACCATTCGGTCCCATCGTCACCAGGTCTGCTGGCACCTGCTCCCACATCTCTGCTGGGGGACCCCCTTTCTGGTGGCTGCCACAGCTCTTGGAAGTTAGGGAAATCAGCACAGCTGTGTCTGCACCCTGCCTGGGCCCAAGCAGGCGACAGGACAGGCAGGACGAGGCTGGGGATGGTGGCTGCTCCGGCTGGCAGTGGCACTGTCCAGAGGACCCTGCTTCCCTGCCCGAGCCATGCAGCACTCGGGACCCTTGGAAGGCCTTTGCTGCTTCAGGCGGTGCTTTACCACAGGGAGAGGGATGGGTCCGAACTGGAGCATCGGTGTGTGTAGTGTGCACACGAGTGTGCAAACTGACACCAGATATGTATGAGGCTGCAGGTTCAGGGCTGCAGCCCGGCCCTGCTCCTGCACTGCCCTGGTGAGGAAGCCGAGGCCACGCAAGGCCTCTCCAGGGCAGGCTGAGCCCCAAGTCTGAGTGCGGGTTTTTGGGACCTAGGATTCAGGGCCAGCGGCCGTCCTACCCTCAGCCTCTTCCTGTGGGGCGGGGCCTGCTGCCCGGACATGGCTGCAGGAGCTGGGAGGTGCCCAGCGAGCCTCGCATGCCCATTTTATGCCCATTCTCTGCAGACCTCCTGTCTCCCCCTCCTGGATACCCTACAGGGACCTCAGACCTAGCGTGTCCAAAACTAAGCTGTCACCCTCCCCGACACCTGTGCCCCTCCTGGGGCCTGCGCTGGCTGGCATAGCCCCTGGAATCCTGGGTGTGGCCTTGTACCTCCCAGCTGTCCCCGTGGACACTGGTCCACCAATGCCTCCTTTCCTTCTTCCCCTTCCTGCTGCCCCCAAGCCCTCCAGGATGTCCCCGCATTGTCATACCGCGTCTTGCAGTCCTGCCAGTGCCAGGCCAGTGTCCTGTCCTTAGCAGGCCCCTCTGACTGCCTCATCTCCCCACAGCCAGGGATGACATCCTGGGTCCCTGCTGGCCTCGCCCCGCAGCCCCTCTTCTAGCCTTTTTGCCTGCTGTCCCCACCCCACGGCTGTGACAAGGGCCCTGGCTTCCTTCTGGGAACTCTCCTCCCCCTGAGGCCCCTGGTGCTCTCTGCAGGCTGCGAGGCCAGGCCCCTCCTCGGTGCCAGCCCAGAAGTCCTCTAGCTCTCCTTGTGTCCCCTATTGGTGGTCTGTGGCCACCTTGCCCTGCTATAGCCAGGCCCAGCTGCCGTGTGACCAGCTCCCTGGCCGAGAGACTATCTCATCCTGGGCCAACTCTGTCCCAGCTTGTGAGCTGGCCCTTGTGGTCCTGGACACCTGAGCCTGTTCCCAGTGCCCTGCAGGAGTGGAGCCCACCACGGAGCCGGCCTGTCCCCTCCCCTGCCCCCTGCCCAGCACTTACTCTTCCTTCTGGCTCAGCCTGCAGGTTGCTTCCTCCAGGAGGCTGTCCGTGCCCCAGGGGTCAGATTGCCCTGGCACCCCATTGTCCTCCTGCACCCTGCCTCTCCCTCTTACCCCCCTCCTCCCCTGTGTCACGTCTGTTTCCCCCGATAGACTGTCCTGGCCCAAGGACAACGACCATACCTCCTTTCTGCCCAGAGCCTGGTGCAGACAAGCCTCAGCAGTGTCCCCTGTGTGTCTCCCTCCTCTACCCAAGGAATCCAGTGCAGAGAGCAGGGGATGTGTCCCAGGTCACACAGCAAGGCGCTGGCCGGGGGTGCGGGGGACACCACTGGTGGTGGCTCCTCCAAGGCCAGGCAGCTAGCGCCCAGCACGCTTGGGCAGCAGAGGCCTGTTTGCTCCCCACCCCTCGCCCATTAATAAGGGATTAAAAGCAAGCAGCTGGCGAGGAGAGGCTGGCTTAAAACACAGCCCCAACCCGCAGCACGTGAGGCGTGAGAAACTTCGGCCCTCAGCACTTTTTGTTTAGACCTGAATTCATGAATTTTAACTAAATAAGCACAGGCATGTTAGGTATTAATATATGTACGATTATGCAAAATCACTATTATGGCTGTAATGAAAATTAGATCCTGGCTTAGTGGTGGCGTGCTGGGTGGGAGGCATCCCCCTGGTTTCCAGGGCTGTGACCTTCCATTGCTGTTGCCATGGTAACGGGGCTGCTATGGGAATCTGTGGATGGAGGCTGGTCCTGAGGAGGGGGTGGGGCAGAGCCTGCCACGTGAGAAGAGAGGGGACTTGTGACCAGTGTGAGGGGCTGGGGTGCGTACACCCCACGAGTACCTGCATCCACCATCTGGGCTTGACACCTCTTCTATGGAGGCGGCCCTGTCTCTTGGTATCTATTCATGGAGCACTTACTATGTACCGGGCCCAGGGACACATCAGTGACAGCTCTGTGTGCTCGTCAGGGCCATATCCCAGAGCGGGACGCCAGTAATAAACAGATGCAGGACCCGGGTCACCTCAGAGCCTGCGAGGGTTCAGGGGAAGTGGTGGGAGACAGTGGTGGCCAGAGGTGCCCCAGTCCCTTCCTGATAAGCAGCAAGCAAGCATTCCAGCAAGCAGCATTGTAGGACAGGACACAGGACGCCCGCCTCATCTCAACCCCGGAGGAACCATGGTCGTTCTCCAGTCAGTGTCCCACGTGGTATTGGGCACGCTTACACTGACGCCTGGGTCACCTACAGGAAATTCGGATTTGACAGGCCGCCCCATTCTTTGCTAATCCAGTCAAACTGCCAGAGCACAGGGCGACCTGCCTGGGCCGGGGGCTGTGAGGAGCCCCGCTTGTGCATTTGACCCACACGCCTGTTCTGGTCCTCTTGCAGGGCTGTCCCCTCCTGCAAGCTCTTCTCATCCAGCTGGGGGTGCGCTGACATCAGACCTCTCCCCATTCTGCTCCACACTTCCAAGGCTCTCAGGACCCTGGGGGTGCTGGTCCTCACTCACCACCAGTGTGACTTCACAGCCACCCACCTGCCCTGTCCTCCCCCCCGCCACCTCTGCATGGCCCCCCGATTCCCCCCTCCCCTTTCTAGCCCCATCAGGTCGGTGTCTTGAGAAACCTCGGGAAAGGTTTTTCCTCAGGAAAGCTTGCCCCTGCCCCATGCTGAGGCCCAGAACCTTACATTTGTCTGTGTGTTTGTTTACTGTGGTTCCGGGGAGTGAACCCAGGGCCTTGTCCTGAGCTCCATCCTCAGCCCTTTTGACGTTTTATTTTGAGACAGGGTCTTGCTAAGTCATTAAGTTGTCCGGGCTAGGTTTTGAACTTGCCATCCTCCTGCTTCAGCCTCGCTGACTGCTATGATTACATCTGCTGGCTTCTTACTTCCAAAAAGTTTCACCATGCGTATTTTTTTATTGTCTTCAAATGTACATAACAAAGTGTTTATCATCTTAATCACTTTTTTTTTTTTTTTTTGTCTTTTTGAGACAGGGTGTTGCTATGCAGTTCAGGCTAGCATTGAGCTCACTTTGTTGCCCAGGCTGGTCTCGCAACAAATCCTCCTGCCTCAGATTACAGGAGTCTCCCACCACGTCCAGTTCTTAATCACATTTAGTATGTAGCTCTGTTATACTAAGGATAGTCATAGTGTAAAGCAGCCATCACCATCTTCTGTGTTTGAATATTTTTCCTCTCCCAAACTGAAACCCCGGACCCCTTACACGCTAATTCCCCCGTTCCTCCCTCCGACCTCTGGCAACCATCACCCTCCTTGCTCTGTGAATTCCTCTAAGGACCTCAGAACGTGAAACCTGAGTATGAATCCTTTAGTGACTGGCTGTTTGCACTCGGCATCAGATCCTCAAGCTACATCCATGTTGTAGCCCGGGGCAGAACTTTCTCCATGTTTAAGGATGAGTAATATTCCACGGTGTGTGTAGGCCGCTGTATGTGGGGTTATTGTGGACACCGGAAGGGCTTCTGCAGGTCGGCTACTGTGAGCAATGCTGCTGTGAACATGGGGGTGCAACTCTCTTTGGTCCCTGCTTTCCTTTCTTTTGTGTGTGTCAGTGAGGTTCACCAAGTCAGTGGCAAATCTGTGTCCACTTGTTGAGGGCCACCTTGGCATTCCCACGGCACCGTGTCCTGACTCCACCTGGGCCCCTCCCTTTAGGTGTCTGGCTGGAGTACAGGCAGGTCGTTCACCCTGTGTGTTTTTCTCTCTCCCTTCCCTCTCCTCGCTCTTGCACCTTTTTGAGATCACTCAGAAGTCTGCAGAGAGCTTGGGAGTCAGCGGAGGAGGGTGAGGAGCAACCCCCCAGGGAACCCCCCTGCTGAAGCTCCCAGGGCCATGAGCAGCCTGGAAGGGGAGTGTGGGCTGGTTCTCCAGGGCTCAGGAGGGCAGGTGCTCAGTTTTGGAAGCCTGGACAGAGCGGTGGGGCAAACTCTTGGGGTTGGGGTGGGGGTGGGGGGAGCCGGAGGAAGAACCCAGCTACCAGTTGATGGGGCAGAGAAGGGGCTGGAGGTGAGCACAGACTGGGCGGGGCCTGATCTTCTCTGCACTTCCGGGACCCCACAGCCTGCTCCAGTTTGAGGGGACCTCTCTGTCTTCAGGGTCAGACACCAGTGCATGCTGAGGACCAGGCTTCTGTGGGTTACTTTGCAGACAGCATTGGGGGCCGGGAGTCCTGTTGGCCTGGTGTGGCCAGCAGCCTTCCTGTGTCCATCCATCCATCCATCCTTCCACCCATCCATCCAGCCACCTGCACCCGGCGCCTGCCCTGTGCATGCCCTCGTGTCTCTGCCCGTCCCCTTCTGGTTCTGTCTGTTTCTTTGTCCTGATGCCTGTCTTGGTCACAGGAGCCACTCTGGCCAGCCAGGCATTCACCATGGCAGAGATGGGTATGTCACCTCCCCACACAGACAGGGCACACCCTGGACTCCTCACCCTCACTCCAGCATCTCTGGAGACCTCCAGGGTACTGGGGACCAGGGTCCAGGGCTGCCCTCTGCTTCCTGGTGGCCATGGCCCAGGGTGGGCCTGGCTGGGAAAATGAGAGATGCTGTAGTACGTAAGAGCCAATATGGGTGCGCTCTCCCTAGATGCAGACGGCCCTGGGCTGCAGGCTCCTCCCCTCTTCCCTGCTACTGGAATGGGGGCCCCCCAGAGGGTGCATCTTCCTGGGAAGACGGGAGAGGCACTGGTCAGGCCCTCCAGGCACTGATCAGCACTGGCTCAGGGTCTGGGCCACCTCTGCCACGGGGAGGGGGCAGCTTCCCACCAGGAGGCCACAGGAGGGACTCAGGCCCAGGGCTGTCCCTGTGGCCTCTTTCACACAGCTGGAGGGCACTTGGAAGGGGTCTGGGGTGCAGTTCCAAGAGATCCTCAACCTCAGGGTGCTTGGCGGCCACCTCCTCTGGAACCTGTACCCCAGTCTGGTCCCCTACTCTGTGTGTGTGTGACTTCCTTCCAATGAACAGAACATGGCCAAAGCGCCGAGATGTCACTCCTGAGGGTAGGAGACAAAGACTGCTTCCTCCTTGCTTGCCTCTCCCGCTGGAATATGCTCGGAAGGAAGCCAGCTGCCCACTGTGAGCTGTGCTGCAGAGAAGCCCCGTGATGGGGACGTGAAAGACACCAACCTCCAGCCAGCACCCAGGGAGGAGTTGAGGCAGTGACTAGGCCCTGTCCCCAAGCACCTGAGCATCAAGGAAGCAGCTGGAGGCTCCTGGCACCGGTCCTGGCTGCTGGCCCACAAAAGCTATGCAATAATGTATATGGTTGTTTTAAAGCTACTAAATCTGGGGTGTTTGTTACACAGCCATGAGCTGATACAAGTGTATTCTGTCCTGCACTGAAAATTCTATCCTGTATTATGTGAAATTCTGGAACTGGCAAAATTTATCTGTAGTAGAAAAAACCCCTTCAGAACAGTGGCTGCCCCCTGGAAGAGCTGGCTGAGAGTTTTCTGATAGATGACAGCAAGAAATGACCTTTGTCCTGAATGGATCCACTGTATGAGGAAGCCATGGTTTCCAATTTACAGATGGGTAAACCGAGGCTTTGGAGGATCCAGTCAGCCGAGGTTATGCAGTATGGAGGCAGCAGAGCTGGGGCTTCTGTTTGTTCAGGTGTCTAGGAGGATGGGGCTGTGTTGATCTAGGGTATCATTTCCCTCTGTGCCTCAGTTTCCTCATATCTGAAGCAGAGATACAAACTGCCAAGTGGGTGAAATCAAGTGCCACTGTCTATGTCTCTGTCTGTGTCAGTCTGTCTGTCTCTTATTGGTAACTGAACCCACGACTTTTGCATTGAGCTATTTTCCCAACAATCTTTATACATTTAAAACATTTTTGAAGTTGATAAGTTGTCCAGGCTGGGCCAGAACATGGGATCCTCCTGCCTCAGCCTCCCAGCGTGCTGGGATATGCACCGCCACATCCTGCTGACTTTTTTCACTCTGCAATCTGTCTGCTGTGGTGCTCTGCGAGAGTTAGGTACGGTGGCCCAGAGGCAGGCGAGGCGCCTTTCCCTTTGGCTATGTCCTCCTTTGGAGGGTGGCATCTTCTGGGCCTACAGGTAGGATGCCTGGCAGAGCTGGGTGGGTTTTTGGGG